CCCCCCCCCTGTCTTCCGGAGACCCTGCAGAGGCTCCCTGGGCCCTTGCTGCGTGGTCTTGAGGTCGGTCTTGAAGGACCTCGTTTGGTGGGAAAGTTGAGACCAGGGGCTGCTCTGAGAAGGTGCCCAGCGGTGAGCAGGGTGTGGGGTGTGTGGGTGGAGGTGCCTGGCTGAGTTTCCTTGCACCCCCACACTGTTGATGTTTGCTGGGGGCCCAGGGGGGGGGGGGGGGGGGGGGGGGCGCTGCCGTTTGTGTTGGGTGGGAGGCTTATTCTTGCCTCTCTCTGTCTGGATGTCCTCTTTCCCTCCCGAGCGACCCACAGACAAGGGCCGGAGACGCGTGTGAACGCATACGCGCCGGGATTGGGCACGTTGGAGGCTCTCCTTGCCAGGAGGCAGGTGACCTAGCTGAGCGGTGTCTGTTGCTGTTGAACAGCTAAAGCCGTCTCCTGAGGCCGTGAACACAGTGAGCCATGAGTCACTCTCCCGTCGTCCCATCCTGCAGGGCCCTGGCCGGCCAGTGGCAGCCAGTGAGCGTGTCCTTCCAGACCACCAGCGCTGGTTTCTGTGCAGCACCGCGAATTCTGATTGTGGCTGCTCCTCCTCTGAGACTCCTCAGCCAGTGCTTTTCTACTGGGGCTTGACTAGCAGTCCTCTGTTCCTCCTCATTAAGGACTCCCACTTCGCGATGGGGAAGTAGATAGCGGCCATTTGCGGAGCTCGTCCTATTGACGTGCCGGTCCCTCCGTTACATGTGTTACTTCTGTTTTCCACGCTAATCCTGTCAGGGAGTTAGTAGCATAGTTACTCTATGGATAAGGAAACCGAGACTTGGGATTTACAGACCTCACGGCAGCTCAACTATCAGTCGGATTTGACCTCAGGGAGTTGAGGGGATTACGCAGGGTCGGGTGAAAAGGGGAAAAACATGAGTTTGTCTTCTCAGCCATTGCTTAGGGTTGGACACCCCGCCCTGAACCAGGTCAGCCCAGACGCCTTCCAGCATTTCTGCCAGACTTCGCTTTCAAAGCGTGGTCGGTACTGTTCCTCCCGCACACAAGGGGCGCGAGCTGGTGTATCCTTACTTGCTAAGGGAGTCACAGCTGGGGACGGTCGTAGAAAGTTCCCGACGGCCAGGCCTAGAGGCCCAGGTTGTCCCAGACGCCGGTCAGAAGCTGTGATTCTGACGTGTTTGCGTTCCTTCCGAGCTGCCCTTGAACCAGCTCGCTGAGCCCTCCCACGTGCCAGACCCCGCACTGCTGCCTCTGTGCACGGGTGCTTGTCTCCCCGTCACGGGAGGAGGCGGGGGCTCCGGGAGCCCGTGCACGGGTCGGAGGTCCCACACACCCCGCGGCGGAGGCGGCCCTGTGCCCCAGCCTGGTCTGCCCGGCCCGCACCCAGCCGCCTTACCGACGTTGCCGGGCCTTATTTCTACGGCCCCCGCCCCAAGGGTCAGCGTAACAGGGCAGGCCTCCCCTCCGCCCTCAGTGCAGCAGACTCCTGGGGAGCTCTCTGGAGATGGGCTTTCTCGGAGGTGGTTTCCTGGGGGGGGTGGGGCCGGGCAGCGAGGCTGGGCAGGCTGAGCTCCCGGAGTGGTGGGGGGAGGGGAGGAGCAGACGCCCAGCGACACTGGCACCCGTCCGAGTGGGGCATCGGGTGGGTGGATGCCGGCCGGCGTGCGGGGCCCTCCGCAAGGGCAGCGGCCGAGACCTTCTGCTCCTGGGGAAGGGGCAGCTCTTCAGAAGCCTGACAGGGAGGCTTTTGTTTCCGGCAGAAGTTAACCTGATGTCTTCTTTGTTTCAGACCGAGAGGACCAGTCCATTCTGTGCACGTAAGTGTTTCTGCCCGGGTGGCGGGGCCTCGTGTCACCCCCTGGCTTATCCTTGCTGTGCGGACTCCTGCCGAGACCCAGGCTGCTGAGCTCCGCTCCCAGTCGGGCCCCTGCCCTTTCCCCATGGGATGGACCTCCAGGCCCCAGGTTAGCCGCTCAGCAGTCCCGTGGCACAGATAAGCTTAGTTTCGGGGCCAGACGTGGACTCCCCTTCCGCTTCCTCGTACCGTGCGGGGAGGTCCGTAGCAGAGAGAAGCAGGAATCTTCTCCACAGTTGGGAGCTGGTGGGTGCCTCCAGAGCACATTCCTTCTAGCTCTGAACAGTGGCTTTCTTTACCTGCTTTGAAGCAGACACCGGGGCTGCTCGCCCTGGCCCCCGGCAGTTACTGAGGAGATAAATAAACCCCACTGTGGGGGGAGTTGATGGTACAGAGCATTCCTTCAAGTGGTTTCGAAGGGACACGTGTAAGTGCCTTTGGCCCATGAGACAACAGCTGCCCAGAGCCGATCCTGAGACTTTGTGACAGCAAGCCTCCCAGGTTCCCAGGCCGGGCAGCGGGTCCGGGTGGTCTGCTGTCGGGCCTCCCGAGGCCCATGGGAAGCGGCCGGAGTGAGGATTCCAGAACTCAGCATTTATTCGCCTGTTCCCCCTCCTGCCGCAAGGGGTTGGGTCCCTCACTGACACCTAGCGGAACGGGAGGCGGTGGCCCGGGTGCGTTGCGCTTCAAGGCTTTGGCCGCATCCCCCCTGAGAACTTTCTTGGCTCTCTTGGCAGGGGTGAGTCTGGAGCCGGCAAGACGGAGAACACCAAGAAAGTCATTCAGTACCTGGCTCACGTGGCCTCCTCACACAAGAGCAAGAAGGACCAGGTGAGCGCGGGCCTTCCTCCCTGAGGAAGAGCATCTCACAATTCGTAGTTCGGAGCGTTTGGGGGATCGAAGCAGAGGCCGGACCCTCTTTCCCGGGAGGCGGCAGCTCGGCCTTCTGGGGAGCGGGTCCGGTGGTAGCCAGCCCCCTTCTCCCCCGGCCTCCTAACTTTCTGAGTGGCTGTGGACACCGGAGACCCCCAGGCTTTGCGAAGCGGCGCTCCCGGCGTTTACGGCTAATTAGAGATTCCCAAACTCGGTTCTCAAGTTGTCGGAGACTTGGAGCCTCTCGGGCAGGCCAGCTTTTGAGCCCCCGCCTCCTCACCCGGCTGTTGAAATGCCTCTGGGTGGACGGTCCCCCAGTGAAAAGAGAAAGGGCAACTAGAAAGTCATCTCACTTCCCTTTTTCTCCCCCTCCCTCTTGATGGATTATGGTCGAACCCAGCAGTGTCCTCACTAGGTGAGCTTGCACGTTTACTGCACGTTCTGCACCAGGAATGCGTGTTCTGCCCATCGTGTGCCCTTGATTTATGTCTTTTCTCCTGAGCAGCTTTTCACTCCACACCGTTGTCACCTTCTGCGGCTAGACCTGTCCTCGTAGGCTCGGCTCACTGACTGTCTTGGGAGGAGGGGCTGGGTGTGACACGCGGTGACCTCTCGTGCACTCTGAAATGACAGCCCCCGCAGAGCGGGTTCGGGCCCCATCGCCGGAGCCGTTCTCGGAAACTCTGGTCGTGCCCAGAGCTCCCTGTGCCCACGGCAGCTGTAAGGCCCCGGTGCAGAACCCTGACCGAGGTCCGGCGGAATGGGAATCTGCTGTCCCGGAGCCCTACGTGCTCGGTGTCTGGACCAGATGGAGATGGCCGTCCCCTCGGCCGGGGGGCGCCCCCCCCCCCCCCACCACCTGCCAGCACTGTGCCAGTCAGAAGCAGCACCCGGAAGGCCCCACACTGGAGTGTCCCAGGGTTGGGGATGATCAGTCCTAAGCATGCCCGTGTGGTGCTCTCTCGCCTTTCTCTTAAGCACACACTCTTAGGCTTCCTTGTGAATTCCAAGTGCCCGTGGTGTCCCCTCAAGCCATCAGGGGGGACTGCGCCGTCTCTCCGTGGCTGCCCCTTGCCCCACGGGGGGCTCACGGGGAGCCGTGAGCAGCGTGTGGAAGTAAGTAGCGGTGTGTGTCTGTTGCATGCAGACCCGGGGTGTGTCCTGAATGTCCTAATGGGTACAGTCTTCTGGAATTGAACCAAAAGTAACTTTTCATGTGCCAAACTGCTCAAGACATTCTAAATCTCTTTCCGTGGGGCGTCAGGAGTTATATTTAGAAACTAATAAAGTTTCTCTTGCTCCCTGTCTCCAAACCCCATTTTCCATTCTCTTTAGGAGGCCTATTTCAAAAACAGAGCCGCGAGGCTAGGAATCCTCTAGCTGTGGTTTTCCGTCTCTGAATTTGCCATAAAATCCATTTCCCAACTATTCATTGAATGTCTAGTATGTGCCTGGGTCTCTGGAGGGTGACCTTGGAGTCCCTGCCCTGGAGAATGAGGGACGGGACCGCAGTTAGAGTCAGAACATAGACGCGTGGGGCTTGTGTCTGGGACTCCAGCTGCAGAGGGGGGACGGCAGGCCCTGGGCGCCCCGCTCAGAGGAGACGGCCTGCTGGAGGGAGGGGTGATGAGGGGGAACAAACTTGTCACATCCTATGTCTCCAGTCACAGTGTGTGACAGGCCACTCTGTCCCCAAGTGGAGAGATTGAATAGGTTGCCTCTGGCTTCCGATGACTGCTCAGGCCCTCAGTTGTAAAGGCCGCTGACAGTTTAGTGGAATTCCTTGCCTAAAGCTGTACAGTGATTTTCCACACACAGCTGGGGCACGAGACACTTGAACTTGGTTTATGGCTCTCGTATTCTGGAGCCTGTCACGGCACACTCTGGGCGACAGCTCTCCCTCGCAGTGACCCAGATGCTTCTCCCAAGGCTGCCCACCGGAGCGCCCCGACCTCACGAAGCCCACGGGAGGGCCGGGCTCCGGCCGGGGCTGCCGGTTGGCGAGGCACAGCGTGGGGGCGTGGGGGGGGTTGGGGGGGG